AAAAGTTGTCCAACTTTTGCTATTCCGGAAGAAGTTGCCCAACTTTTGCTATTTTTGTAAAAATTGCCCAACTTTTGCTATTCTAGAAAAAGTTGCCCACCTTTTGCTATTGTAGAAAATGTTGCTCAACTTTTGCCACTCCAAAAAAAGTTGCCCAACTTTTGCTGTTCTAGAAAAAGTTGCTAAACTTTTGCTATTCTAGAAAAAGTTGCTCAACTTTTGCTATTCTAGAGAAAAGATGCTCAATTTTTGCTATTCTAGAAAAAGTTGCCCAACTTTTGCTATTCTAGAAAAAGTTGCCCAACTTTTGTTATTCTAGAAAAAGTTGCTCAACTTTTGCCTTTCTAGAAAATGTTGATCAAAATTTGCTATTCTGGAAAAAGTTGCTCAACTTTTGCTATTCTGGAAAAAGTTGCTCAACTTTTGCTATTCTCGAGAAAAGTTGCCCAACTTTTGCTATTCTAGAAACAGTTGCTCAACTTTTGCTGTTCTAAAAAAATTTCAACTTCTTTTTAAATATTCAGTTTAAGAATATTTGCTAATGTTTAAAGGCACATTCTAAGGAAATTTTCTTTTTCGACATCCTCTTCATTCTTTCCGCAACAAAAAATATTTACGCCAATATCTAATTTATTGCCAACAATTTACAACACTTCATTTGTTGTGATAAAGTCATAATGAGATGCTTTTCCGACAAAAAAAAAAAAAAGAAAAATGGAAAAGAAAAACACAACAAAACATAAAAATCTATGAAGCGCATCATTAAACAACGAAATTGATGCGGAAAATTAAGGCCAACAATTGGTAAATGGTCTTAACACAATACCAAGAATTAAGACCACGACCACCCTTCCGAAGAAAAAAAAAATAGAATGTGGCCTTTCTCCTTTGGTTTTAAGTAGCATAATTTATGGCGGCAATTTATGTTAATAATTAATAAATGAATTTATATAAATCTACCGGACCGAGGAGCAGCACTGACCAATTATTGGCAAAATGAAGGAAATTAGACACAAATGAAATCACAAGAGGAAAATATATTAGACAAATGTGAGAAGGAGCGGCGGCGGGGGTGAGGAGGGTGAAAGTGAGGGCTATAGAAACAAGGGGGAAAATTCCTGGCATGTAATTACTGCTAAGCGAAAACATCCACATGGAAGCCAAATATATCATTTGGTCGAACAGCTTAACAAATATTTAATGATTTATATTTCACAGCATATTTTAGGGAGGAAATTCGTGGCAAGGAAGAAAGAAATCCCATAGAAAAAAACTAAAATAGAAACTCAAAGATTTCCGGACATTTGTTTTATTGGAACCTTGCGAAAAGAGAATGGAAGACATGAACTAGACATTTGTCCATTGGAACCTTGGCCAGGAGAATGGAGGAGGAAACGAAATAGACGAGGCAACAACCTAATGTCTGGGTGATTATTTGTTGAAAGTTAATGTTATGGATAAAGCAAGAGAATCGGCAATGGTGGCTGGCACACACTCACATATGGCAAGGACATTCATTCATATGGCAGGACATTAGTTTTAACGAAGGTACAAGGAGCCACAGCTCCAAAAAGGCAAAGCAAAACACAAAAAACCGAATAACTTGTAGATGTTGGCTAATGAAGTGACATAAAATAAAATTAACACAAATGGTTTGGTTATTCAATGCCCTCCACCCTCTTTTCTCTCCTGAGTCCTGGGATTTTGGTTAACCAAAATGCATACATTGGCCAGGGCAACATATGTTGTGAAATATTTAATGTTTTGGCCTAGTACCCATTGCCGGCCGGTGTTTTGTTGGCCTTTCTCCTTCCCTCCCCCCCTCACCGGGGGGAAAAAACAATCGATATACATTTCTTCCTTTTGTTTTCCTCTTTTTTTTAAACATTTTCTCCTAATTTATGGTCATTTCAGATGAGTTCTATTATTTAGATTTATAGCCCAAATATATGTTTGGAATTTGGCAGTGCGAGAAAAAAAAAATTATCCGGCCATGATTGCTGTTGTTGGTTTTGTTTTGTACATGTCCTTCATCTACAACGGCCATTAGACATAGACAAATATATATGTTGACCTATTATTTATTTGTTCTATTTTTTTTTTCTCTTGCACACAGAGAAACTAATTTGTTTTTTAAAAAAAAAAAAAAACAACAACAGACAATAACGAGGCATAAAAAATGAACCAAGGCCATGGCAAATAACAATGAATATTTTAAACAAAAAAATAAACTGAAAACAAATATAGCTTTCATTTAATGCCTGTTTTGGCAATTTGTCAATGGTTAACAAGAAGGGGAAAAGGGTTTAAAATCTAAGTGTTACCCATGTATGTGAGAACATTTTTGCAATAATTTATTTTAAATATTTATGCTTGCATTTAAATTCTTCACAAATTGTGTCTAAATTGAGAATGAGTAGCGTAAAAAAGGTTCTGCTAATTTTCTGTCCAGAGAATAATTGTCTAACATTTTCTAGGAGAGAAATTTGAGCAACATTTACTCGCTGAGAAAACGTTGAGAAACATTTGCGGTAGTAGAAATGTTGAGCAACTTTTTTCTAGAATAGCAAAAGTTGAGCAACTTTTGTCTAGAATAGCAAAAGTTGAGCAACTTTTTCTAGAATAGCAAAAGTTGGGCAACTTTTTCTAGAATAGCAAAAGTTGGGCAACTTTTTCTAGAATAGCAAAAGTTGAGCAACTTTTCTAGAATGGCAAAAGTTGAGCAACTTTTTCTAGAATAGAAAAAGTTGAAAAACAAAAACTTTTGTCTAGAATAGCAAAAGATTAGAAACTTTTGTCTAGAATAGCAGAAGCTGAGCAACTTTTGTCTAGAATTGCAAAACTTCACCAACATTCCCTAGAAAACCAAAATTTGAGCAACATTTTCTAGAACAAATATTGACCAACTTTCTCTGAAAATAAAAATATTTTTCAAAATTTTCTGGACTTAAGAAAGTTGCTAAACATATTTCCCAGCATAAAATGTTGCTTATAATTTATGTAAGCAACAATGTTGCCTAAGGTTTTGTTTTTCAACCATTTGGTCGACCAAAAAACGATGATCATCATTTCAGAATCATGATCATCATCATTTCAGAAATCCCTTAAATTCTCTTGACGGAAAAATGTTTATCAACATTTCCAAGACAAGAAAAAGTTGAGGAACATTTTCATGATGAAAAAATGTTGGGCGAGACCTTACCATAAAATGTTGCCAAGCATTTAAAGGCAAAAAAAAAATTTGCTAAATTTTCTCTTTAAACAAAAATGTAGCTCAACATTTTCCTGACTGAAAAAAGTTGTTCAACATGTTGCCGTGTATAGAATGTTGCTTACAATTTATTGGGGCAACAATGTTGCATTACGTTTTGTTTGTCAACATTTTGATCATTTGTTGGACATCGTTTCATAAGAAAAAATTTAAATTATTAAAAAATTACTTTTTCCTTACGGAAAAATATTTATCAACATTCTCAAGATGAGAAAAAGTTGAGCAACATTTATAGGTTGAAAGAAAATGTTGTCCAACAACTTATCCATAAAATTTTGCTCAGTATTTTCAAGGCAAACAAATATTGTGCAGCTTTCTCTGAAAATGAAAAAAGTTGCTCAATTTTTTGCTGTACCGAAAAAAAGTTGCTCAACATATTGCCGAGCATAAAATGTTACATATAATTTATGTAGGCAACAATGTTGCGTAAATAATATTTATCAACATTCCCAAGAAGAAAAAAAAATTGAGCACCATTTTTATGATGAAAAAATGTTGGACAACATCTGTGCCACAAAATGTTGCTAAGCATTTTTCAAGCCAAACAAATATTATGCAGCTTTCTCTGAAAATAAAAATGTTGTTCAACATTTTCTGAACCGAAAAAAAGTTGCTCAACATATTGCCGAGCATAAAATGTTGCTTATAATTTATGTAGACAACAATGTTGCATTAGGATTTGTTTATCAACAATTTGCACGACCTACATGTTTTAGAAATCGTTTCATAAGAAAATTTCAAATTATTAAAAAATTGCCTTTAATTCCCTTGACGGAAAAATATTTATCAACATTCCCAAGAAGAAAACATTTTGAACAACATTCTCATGATGAAAAAAAATGGGCAACATTTATGCCATAAAATGTTGCTAAGCATTTTTCAAGGCAAACAAATATTGTGCATCCTTTCTCTGAAAATGAAAAGAGTTGCTCAACATTTTCTAAACCAAAAAAAGTTGCTCAACATATTGCCGAGCATAAAATGTTGCTTTTAATTTATGTAGACAACAAAGTTGCGTAAATAATATTTATCAACATTCCCAAGACGAGAAAAAGTTGAGCAACAATTTCATGTTGAAAAAATATTGCCCAACATCTGTGCCCAAAATGTTGCTAAGCTTTTTCCAAGGCAAACAAATATTGTGCAGCTTTCTCTGAAAATGAAAAAAGTTGCTCAACATTTTCTGTACCGAAAAAAGTTGCTCAACATATTGTCGAGCAAAAAATGTTGCTTATAATTTATATAGGCAACAATGTTGCATTAGGTTATGTTTATCAACAAATTGCTTGACCTACATGTGTTAGTTATCAAATCAAATGGAAAATTTTAAAAATTGTGGCATATTTCGAGGAGCTAAATTTAAAAAAAAAAATAGTAATATTGTTATATATAATATATGAATGTTTATAAATCTCTTAAGTTTGAAAATTGTAGCATATTTTGAGGATATAAAAATTTTAAAAATAGTAATAATGTTATATATTTAATATAAATGTTTATAAATCTTTAACATCTCTTTAGTTTGAAAAATTGTAGCATATTTTGAGGAGTCAAAGTTGATAAAAATAGTAATAATGTTATATATTTATTATATTTTTTTATAAATCTTAAAAAATCTCTTATGTTTGCTATAAATAATTTGTAATAAAAATATAAATACTTAAATGATTTAAAGAATACGTTATACACAATAGAATAAAGTAGGAAATAAATTTTGTTTTGTACTCACGGACTGCATCAATAACAACTGGTGTCCAGATTAACAACACAAGAAGTGTGGTAACTGCAACAATATTGGCTGCTGTTGGCAATGCTGCCACTTGCAGCCCCATTATTTACAACAAAATACGCGCTGAGACACACACACACGCAGGAAATTGACTTGAGTTGTGGGAGGAGGAGGATGGAGGCGATTGAGATTGAGGTTGGATCAACGAAATGGCTGGCGTCCAACCAAATGCCCAGGCAATGATATTGCTCAATTTATTGCTGGTGTTGTAGTTGTTTGTTGTTGTTTCTTGGCGCAACAACCAAGCAAATGTGTGAACAACAGTTGCTCTTGTTATCCGATGGAGGAGGAGGAGATTGGAAGAAGTATAAATACAACCAGCGAGTGGGTAGAAAAAAAATATGATAATGGTCGACAAGACCAATAGAGGAGTATCTGCGTAGTTTTTTTTTTATGGAGGGGATTTCAAACTGATGATGACGACGGCCAGGCTCTTGTCTGGTCTTAAATGTAAGTGGGTCGTGGTTCGTTGTCAACGTGGTTGACCAGATAAGAGATACGACGACGAGGATGATGGCGACGACAATAAGGATAACAATTTATACAAAATGGATAAAATTGAGTTTCCTGGTTTAGTTTTTTGTAGCTGATTTGTTCTTTGCGGTTTTTTTCGATTTCTGTTACTAGACTTACTCTATGGCTAGTGGCAAACAAAAATCATTTAAGGGAGGTATCAAAAATCGTTAAAAATTGCTTAGAGTTTGCTTTTCGGAGAGTGTATAAAATTTTTCCTTTGCTACAGAATTTTTTTCGTTTAAATGTTGCAGATTTGAAGCAATGGACAATAAATGGATTGTGGAAGGAGGGGCGGCGGTGTGTTAAAAACAATTTCGATTTTTTTTTGGTTGGTGTAATTACAGTTTTTTTTAATTTTTTTGTACAAGAAGTTACGTTTTTTTTTTTTTTTTTGTAGTCGTTATTAACAAGGATTCAAATTTCCGTTTTGTTGTTCAGTCGTTGATTAAGATTGTTGTTGTTTTTGTTGCATTTGTATAATTATGATATAGTTTAAGCCGAAAATCATCGGATATTACAAGATGTGTGAATAGACGCGATGTCATCATCATCATTAGCAGCATTGCAGCCAAAGGGACATTTGGATTAGACACCACGTTTTATTTCATCGAGAAATGCGCAGTATTTTGGTGATGAATGGCAGGACAACAACACCCAACCATTTTAAGCCGGCAGCAGACGTCGTTAGTGGGCATATGTCACGCAATATTCAATGAATTATATGCCATTATGATATTTCGGCCCGGTCGAATTCAAGCGATAATTGGCGCCCAAATGATTTCAAGTGTTTGTTTAACAAGGTTAAAACAACAATGGAAATTTTTGTTGTTGTTTTTTCCCAAAAAATAAAACAAAAAATCGACAACAACCAGGAAACAGCCAAGAGAAAAAAAAACAACGGTTGGTTGTTGAATATTTTTTCCGTTGAGGATATGAATAATATTTTAATTTGTCATCATCAGCGAGGTCACGAAAATTTATTGATTATTTTATTGCCGGCAGCGCCAAAAAGTAGGCAAGGCAAAAAAATGGTTTTCCAAAAAAAAAAAAACAAATTGTTAAGGTGTGTGTGTTTTGTAGTTGTTAACGTCGTTGGGGGCCAACAGCAGCAGTATTAGACATCACGAGCGTCGTTGGATGATATCGTGAAATAGATAATTTGTTGAAAAAAAATGGAGAGAGAGAAAGAGAACGAATTTCTCTGTTAGTTATCTGGCGATGATGGTGCCTTTTACCTGGACTCTCAAAATACTTAAGATTTTCTAAGACGAGAGAGAGAAATTTAAACGTTGGGGGACAATTATTTTATTTTATTTAATTATTTTATTTATTTATTTTTTTTTTTTTTTGGTAAAAAAATTTAATATTTTTATTTGTGTTGCCCTAAAACCAAGTTTTTGCTTTTGTGATATTTATTTATATTTTTAAGGATTTTTTGTAGATTATTATTATTTTTTGGAATTAGATTGGTGAGCTGTAAAGAAATGGAAATGAAAAATAAAATAATTGTTATTAGAATTTGCGAAAAAAAATATTAAATGTGGCCAGTCAAACTTGTGTGAAAGGATATAATTGAATTTTCAAATGTCTCCAAGAACATTTCAAGCCATAGATTTTTTAATTTTTTTTTTTTAAAGCAAACATGGATAGTGAAAACTATTTTTTTAAGCTACTTCCACAAAGCCGATTTTTTGTAAATATTTCTTTTTCAACCTGAACCTGATATGTTTTAATATTTTTTTTCAAGAACCATCAGGGCCTCAATTCTTGTTCTATGAAAATGGGAAATGAAAACTTGTATAAAGGAAAGAAATGTCAAATGAAAAATTTTATAAAGGAAATATTTTTCATTTCATATTTTCATTTAACAAGAATCCAGCCCCAGGACCTATTTAAATAATAGTTTTTCCGGAATCAACAGAGCATCCAAAGTGATTTTTTTGAATATTTTTAAAGGATTTCCAAAGCCATGTACTAAGACCTAATTTTTAAAAGGGCCAAAATGTGGATTTTTTTGGAATTAAATTTTCAAAAACTAACCAGAAATGTGGAATTTTTTAAAATGACTGTTTTTAAGAACTATCCAGAAATGTGGATTTTTTTTAGATAATATTTTTAAGGATTATCCCAAAACGTGGATTTTTATAAATTATCTTTTCAAGGACTATCCAGAAATGTGGATTTTTTTAAATAATATTTTTAAGGACTATCCCAAAACGTGGATTTTTGTAAATTATCTTTTCAAGGACTATCCAGAAATGTGGATTTTTTTTTTTTAAATAATATTTTTAAGGACTATCCCAAAACGTGGATTTTTGTAAATTATCTTTTCAAGAACTATCCAGAAATATGGATTTTTTAGATAATATTTTTAAGGACTATCCCAAAACGTGAATTTTTGTAAATTATCTTTTGAAGGACTATCCAGAAACGTGGATTTTTTAAATAATATTTTTAAGGACTATCCCAAAACGTGGATTTTTGTAAATTATCTTTTCAAGGACTATCCAGAAATGTGGATTTTTTTTAGAAAATATTTTTAAGGACTACCCCAAAACGTGATTTTTTTAAAATTATCTTTTCAAAAAGTATCCAGGAATGTTAATTTTAAAAAAATATTTGCGGAAGCAACGTAAGCACCAAAAACAGGACCAAAAATGTGAATTTTTAAAAATTGTTTTTCAAGGACGAAGACCTGGGTTTTTTAAAGTCTTCTTTCAAGGACCATAACAAGAACAGGACCAAAAACGTGGGATTTAAAAACAAAATCTTTTAAAGGACAGAAACGTCATGTCAGACCCTTAAGGCTTAATTTTTTTAAAAATGTTTGCAAGTGCCAAACGTGGAATTTTCGAGCTTATTTTTGCCTAAGCACAATCAGGACAAGCAATATGGATTTTTAAATATCTGTTCTAAGATAGATCTGGAAGGATGGATTTTTAAGATTTGTTTTTAAGGACTATCGGGAACACAGACATGTAATTAAGATTATTTTTTAAGGTCGAGGACCATAAACGTGGCTGTCTTAATAATTTTTACATTACATGTCTGTGTTCCTCATATTCCTTGAAAAAATAATCTTAAAAATCCATTCTTCCAGACCTTACCTTAGAACAGATATCTGAAAAATCCAAATTTCTGGTCTTAAATTGTGTTCAGAAAAATATTTTTTATTTTTATATTTTAATTATTTTCCAAGGGTTTAAAGGATTTTTTTCAAGTACTTGACAAAACGTTTCCCCAGAGACCCTCTGGACAAACATTTTAAAATTATTTTCCAAGAACCATCTGAAATATAATTTCTTTTAAATATTTTTTCTAAAGGACTCCAAAGATATTCTCCTCTATATATTTCGGACAGAAAGTTGTAATTTTAATTTTTTTCATTTGCCTTAAAGGCAAAAATGTGGTTTTCTTTGTAACATTTGCCCTCGAACAAACAAAATCACAAAAGAATATTTTTTAAATTATTTTTCTCAAGGATCAGAAATATCTATTTTTGAACCGTCTGGAGTAAATTCCATTATAAGTATTATTTTTAAAGAACTGTAAAGACATCGTCTAAGGTTTTTATATCATCCAAAGGAGACCTATTGTTATTTTATTATTTACAAATGACAAAAAGGACCATAAAAGAATCCAGAGACTGTGAGGTCCACTTTGGTCCACATACGACTCAATGCTATAGTCTATTGTTTACCTAAAAATCTTCTATGGTCTGCAGGACACCTAGAGGTCTTCGGCATCAGCAGGAGTCCCAGAAGAGATTGGACGACACCTTTTTATATAAGTTCCTTTAAAATACCTACAGTCCTTTTTTGAAAACCATTGAAGTCAAGAGGTGTTCTATTCGCCTCGGAAGACCAGGATGTCACACAAAAAGTACAGAAGACCTGGTGGTCTCCTATAGAGTAAATTTTTCGACCTTTTTGAAATAGTATGTTTATTTCATGAATTTTAACACTTAGTCGCCGAAACGTGACACTACTGTTTAAATGTGGAAGAAGTGGACTTTGCCTTATTTGGCGTTGAATGAACAAATTTTTGTTCAAAAAATTTTAGAGGAGGATATTTGCAACATTTGGTACCACACAGTCGAAAATGTAGATGGCTTGGAGGTGTTCCTTTCTTCATAGGAGATTTTTGTGTGTGGAAGACCCACTGTCCACAGAAGGCTCAAAGCAAACTTAGAGACCCAGAACCGAATGTCCTCAAAATGGCTTAGAGGTGTTCCTTTCTTCATAGAAGACTTTTTGTGTGTCGAAGTCCTACTGTCGTCCACAGAAGGCTCAAAGCAATCTTAGAGCCCCAGAGCCGAAAGGTTTTAAAACCTAAAAGTTTGTCATCAAAAATCTGTTGTCCTTTTCTTGGATCTCATACATTTGTTGAGCTTAGCGTAAACAAAATTATTTCCCCTCCTTTTTTCTCACACCTTGAAACTTTTTGGTTAATTCTTGTCAAATTATATCCAATACATTCTTACAAATGAAATTTAAGTAAAAATTAGAATCTAAATTTTTTTGGAATTCGAAATATTTTTTTTGGAAATTTTTACTGCCTACTTTTAGGCGAAGTGATTTTAAGACCACCACTATCTCTACATATATATGTGGTATATATATATATCAACGTATCCCAGTGTTGTAGAAACGCATATTTTATAAAATTGTAGCATACTTTCAGGCTTCATATAAATTTATGTGACCCTTAACACAAACACAATCTTCCTTTTCCTCCTTAAACTTACTGTTAATTTTTGTCAAATTATATCCAACACATACTTAGAAGTGATATTTAAGTAAAAATTAGGATCTAAATTTTTTTGGAATTCGAAATATTTTTTTTTGGAAATTTTTATTGCCTACTTTTAGGCGAAGTGGTTTCTAGATCCCCGCTATCTCTATATATATGGTAAACATATGCCAACGTATCTCAGTGTTGTAGAAACGCATATTTTATAAAATTGTAGCATACTTTCAGGCGTTATTATGTCTTATATTCGTCCCTCTTCCTTCCTAAACTTCCTGTTAATTTTTGTCAAATTATATCCAACACATACTTAGAAATGCAATTTATTTGGCTAATCTTTAAAGTAAATCTTATGGCCATCCGACTAAAGCTGTTGCCGAAACCTTTAGCTACGCCACGCAAAAAAGGGACCTGCAAACTTTTGGCCAAACAGAAAATAAATAAAAAGGAAAGCCTCTCTCGCTCCTGGCC